CTTTTTTTGATCTCTGACTGGTACAGAGATCCAACCCTTGACCTTGGTGTTATTGACACCATGCTGTAACCAATTTAGCTAACCAGCCAGCCCAATAAAGATATTTTTTAGAGAAAAAAAAAACCCAGGATGTATTTTCGATCTAGCATGGTGATTAAGGGTCAGTCACTTAGCAAAGATTAAGATTCTTAATCTTTGAACCCAAGCCTTACTTTCCCTACCTATAAAACAGGGTTAATACTTACCACACAAAGATGTCATGAGGAAGCTGGATTAGTTGTTAATGATCCTTTCTAGAGTTAATATTTTGATTACCTCTTTTCATGTTCACAGAAAAAGATTGCTATATGAAAAATAAATGTCTTTACTTGTCTTCAGGTAATTATTTTTCTTTTATTTCCTGAAGAACCAGGAAGCCAAAAACAGATGAGCAGTGCCTCTGGAATGTCTGGGCGACTCCACCCTGGGCACCTGGGAAATGACAGGGTATTTCCACTCATTAGAAGATCCCTGATGAGGAGAGCCTTCCTCAGTGGGAACAGGATCAAACTTCAGTTTTAATAAGCCAGTGTGTGCCATTAAAAATATTGTATATTCGGGCTGGCCCGTGTCTCACTCGGGAGAGTGTGGTGTTGATAACACCAAGGCTACAGGTTCGGATCCCATATAGGGATGGCCGGTTGCGTAATAACTTCGTATAGCATACATTATACGAAGTTATACGATATTGATGAAATTTCTCCCAGATGTCTATGTATATACACATGTAGTGATATATGTATGAAATTGATATAAGTAGGATCATACACATTCTATTGTGTAACCTGTTTTTTTGGTGGGTTTTTTTTTGGCAGCTGGCCAGAACAGGGATTGAACCCTGGACCTTAGTACTGTCAGCAGCATGCTCTACACAACTGAGCTAACTGTCCAGCCCTATAACCTCTTTTTATCACGTAACAATATGCTATATTTTCCTCATCAATAAATGTAGGTCAAAATCATTTTAATGGGCACATTAGATGGTCATAGCATTCTTTAATTAACCAGTTACCTACCAATGAACATTTAGATTGCTTCCAAAGTTTCAATATTATAAGTAACACTGCAATGAACATCCTTGTTAAGAAAAAAACACTGACTAAGACAGTGCCCCTTGGCTAAATTTTGATTTTTGAGTACTCCTGGCTTCCTCTTTAATTGATTTGCTTACCTATATTTGCAATCCAGATACTCTGCTTAAGCAGTTATGCAAGTGTTCCATAATTTATTATGTACAATGTATATGTCATTGGTTGAAGTCCAATTAGATCATTATCAATAGGGAGGATTGCACATTAACTGAGTTCACAGAGTTGTATCTTACACATCTGAAGTGCTAATAATTGCTCATCTTTGATGGTAATAAGATAATAATTTTACAATTCTCTCTTTGCTTTTGTAAGATTGAAAAGTAGCTTGGATCACAGCAATGATATACTTATGTCTATAAAAAAGTAAAAATTAAAAAAGGGAGAGAGGGCTACAACATCAGGAAACATTTCTGTTTCAAATTTCTCAAATATGACGTGTTTTTAAAATTTTATATGGATACAAATCATGAAGAGGAACACCCACATGGCTTAGAATTCAAAATATGAGATTTCATATTTTAAGCCTTTTCTGTGTCTGCCGAATACTAGTGGGTGAAGAATGCCTTCAATGACATTTTGGCATTTCCAGAAACCTGAGTAGCTTGGTAGGATTCCTTTTTCTTTTGGTGGCTGGCTGGTAGGAGGAGCAGAACTCCTGATCTTGGTGTTATCAGCACCATGCTCTCCCAAGTGAGCCACTGGCCAGCCAACCTACCCCCCCCCCCTTTTTCAGTGAGTTTTTTTTATTGTTGTTGTTTTTTGCTGTTGGCAGGTACAGGGATTAGAACCCTGGCAGGATACTTGAGTCTGCCAGGTTATAGCAGTTCTGCTTTTCTTGTGAAGCAAGCCTATTCTGTTTGATTAACATTAGTTTTAAGATATATTGTAGTAGAACTGAACATACAGAGACATTTTTGTCCTACATGTATGATCAAGTTTCTTCATATACAAATACAGAGATAAAACAACTTGCTCCTTACTGTATGTGGAAGGCTGAGAGTTTTTACAATTAGCTATGATAACAGAAAGTAACATTCTCTGAGTATCTGCTATTTTCCAGGCATCATGGCAGACATTTTGTCTTGCATTATCTTACTTAATCCTAACAAGACTTTGTATTATCTACATTTTTAAATGAGGAAACTGAAACTTAGAGAAGCTAAATAATTCACCATTTATAGTGCTGGCAAATGGTGATGCTATGTCTGATTCTGAAACCTTGACTTTCATCACTCCACTTTGACATTCTATTTTTTTTTTTTTTTAAAGATGACCGGTAAGGGGATCTTAACCCTTGACTTGGTGTTGTCAGCACCACGCTCACTCAGTGAGCTAACCGGCCATCTCTATATGGGATCCAAACCCGTGGCCTTGGTGTTATCAGCACCACACTCTCCCAAGTGAGCCACAGGCCGGCCCCACTTTGACATTCTAGAAGGAAGGTGGAAATGTTCTGAAGTCTGTTGCATTGCCTGCAAGTCCTTCAGTGACAGAAACCATGCTTCTGTCTGCCCCTCCCCCCCTTTTACTTATCTTTTACGATCCCATAAAACAGACCTACTCTTATAATTCCCTTAAAATCCTATTCTCTCAAGACTTTGGGCCTTGTTGATAATGTTTTCTTGGCTTAAAATTCCTTTATCCCACTAGTACAGTATTAAACTAATTGGCCTACTGCTACTCATCTTTCAAGTCGCATTTTAAACTGCTCTGCCATGCTCCCATTACTCTTGATATACGCCATACAGCAAGGATCTTACTGTGTCATGACTTAAATTGTAAGCAACTAGAGGGAGTCTTCTTTTTCTTCATTATTATATTTCCAGGGCCTTTCAAAGTACATTTCCCAATAGGCATTCAATTAAATATTTATAGAATGAATGAAAAAAAGAATGTATAAATGACATAAATCCATGCACGGAACTCATTAGGGGTTTGTGGAGGGTCCTATCTTAATTTATTCCATATAACCCTAAAAGTTACCAGAAATAAAAGCTTTTCATCTTTTTATAGTAAAACTTTCCAACATATCCTTCTTTTTCTCCAGAATAAAGTACCTGGAGCACAGTAATAACTCAATACATATTTATGAATTAATGAAGAGCCTTAAAAAAGTATATAAAGTCTTTATAATAATATAATGCCTATTCTCTCCAGACTCATTTTGTGCCACTCCTACTTTACCCTCTAATAATGACTAACAGTATATAATTTTCATTCATGCATCAAATATTTATTTAACCACTAGTACGTGCGAGGCACATTGGTGCAGTTTCAAATAGCTGCCTTCCTTTCCTTGCTATCCCTGTTTGTGGAAATTTTTGAAACCATTGATCAAATACCATATTTATTGTGGTTTTCTTATCTTCGTTCAGTTCAGTTACCTCCCCCAGAAGCTGTCCCTGACAGCTTTAACACACAGTGTTTGCCCCTATCTTATTCTTGATTATATCAAAGTGAAATTATCTGCATGTGTTCGTTACCCCTACCCCTCTGACCCACAATACCTGGTATGCTCTCCTGAAGGCAGGGATTGAGGTTTTGATCACATATTTGTCCCCAGGGACCAGCACAAAACCTAAGACTGGTCCAAAACCCCTGTATAAGTATTAAAATGAATAATAGCTACTCTATTGAACAACATGGATTAACACCTTGAAGTCTCACTACAACAAGTGCGTTAAGTAATATCTCCATGTAATAGATGAGAAAAAGAGTCTTGAAAAAGTTTAGAATCTTGCCCAAGGTCACACAGTGGTGGAGCCTGTTGTCACCGGAATCTGAAGAACGAAGTCACCACTGATTCTAATAAATAAGACTCCTTCCCACCATCTTTTGAAGTTTTCGTTTAGCTTTTGTAACGTCTTTCCTTCTTTAGACCAATGGCTCCGCATCTACTTTACTACTGTGAGTGGGGCAATATCCCTTTTTATCATACTGGGTATTGTTCCACCTCCCTCTGGAAGTAACGTGATTTTAAACTTTCTGAAGTTTCACTCCTTCCGGGGTAGAATCCGCGTAGGAACGCCTGGGAACATAACAGGTCCAGTGAGAAAGACGGTCGTTCGAAATGGAATGCGAGAACTAAGACAGTTTTTCTTCGGGCAGGAAACACAGTGAAGAATTTAGCACGGGAGGATGGTCCTTCTGTCAGTTGCACAAGTCCTGAGACTTTGGGAGTTGGGTTGCTCACACTTAAGACTGCTGTGACTGTGTTGCCCACAGCTAAGATGGCTGCTAATGAACATCTCCTTTGGCTGTCTGTCCTTTTGCTCGTTGGTATCTTCAACGAGAACTAAAGTGAATAAAACTTAGTAAAAGTTGGCACCTTCTTACGAAGACGATAAAACAGGGATCTAGCACTGTTTACTTAGAAAAAAACCTTCAACTGCTTAAATTCTTTCTGGCCCTTAACCAAAATGGTCGTCAAGTTTGTACCGTGGCTTGAAGTTTCCAGCCCTTAACTAAGATGGCGACTGGAGACCCATTAAAAATCAGTTTGCCCTCTTCTCTGCCCTCGACCAATATGGCTCCTGCAGCGTCGTTCACGTGACATCGTCGGACTACGGCGCGGGAGAGGGGGTAGGAAGGCCCTTGAAGGGTGCGCGTTCCCGTGGCTGTGCACCGGGTAGGTCTCAGTCAGAGTCACTATGGCGGCCGGCGCTGGCAAGGTAAGCTGAGGCGGAGGCAAGGGAAGCAGGACCCGTCGTGGCGTCCTGCCTCCGAATCCCTGCAGCCCGTCTGCGGAGAGGTCGGCCGAGGTCGTGCCCAGAGGCCGGGGCTGGCGGGGGGCTGGCTGAGCCGGGTGAGGGCTGAGGCGGGCGGGCACCGGTGCCTGACGGCCGTTTGTTTTGATGTTTTTCCCACCAGGTCGGAAAGTTTCCTGCCTCGTCCGGCACAGCCTGAGCTTGCCCCACCGGCCGCGAGTAGGGGAGGCTGCGGCGGACCCAGCCCGGGGCCTCCAGGCCTCTGCTCCAACCTCCGGGCCAGTCTCCCTCCGCCACCTCTTCGTCCGCTTGGAGCTGCGGCTGCAGTCCCTGAGATGCGACCCTCGCGGGGGCGACCCTGAGGGGAGGCGGCCCGAGTGCTGAGGAGCAGCCAGGAGCCCAGACGTTCAGGGATCAACTTCCCGCCGGCCGGGACCCCCGAGCCTCCCTGGGGTGGTGCCTCGCTCGGTCCGCACCGTCCTGCGGAGCCGGGTCTCCGCCCTGGTCGCGGGGACGCCCGCCAGGTGCCCGGGAATCCCGACTTGGCCGCTGCCCGCGCCCCCGCCGGCCCGCACGCCTCGTGCCGAGGACCCTCGCCACTGCCTCCTCGGCTTGTGCCCGGCCAGGGACCCCGTGCCTGCTCCCGGGGCGGCCTCCGCGCAGCAGGGGCAATGCAGACTGTCCCGCTGGCCGTCTAGAACCCTTCTCCGCCCTCTGTCCCCTTCACCCCGAGGCCGTCGAGGACGGGCGGTGACCACCCAGAGGTGCTCGGCTGTACCTTCCTTTTGCCCGAAAGGATTTTCTTGGCCGCACCGAACCGACCCTTCCTTCATGCTGCAGTGCTGCAACGTTTCCGCCACTAAGGGGGAAAAACGGCCGCGATCTCAAACAAAACACAAGAATTGGTGTGTGACTCATCTACTTGGATACCTCCAGTCCCCAAACTGTCTTCCAGGAGTTTTCTTGGCCGAAGCTGCCTGATGTTTGAGCCTTTTCTTCCCAGGGAAGAAGATGGACTGAAAGCTGCCAGTTGGGGACTTTTTGTGAGCAGGGCGCTGCTGGGTTTTGAAGGAGGTGATGGGGCTTGCGCTGGCTTGTCTTCCCACCCAAGTGAAGAGTTGTTGATTTTCACTGGTTATGCTTAGACAATGCGTAGTTTGTTTTAATTTAGAATTTTGGGGTGGATAAGGGTATAGGCTTGTGAAGGGCAGTCCGGATCCGGAGGAACTCCTCTTTGTCCCTGGTAGGAGGGACACCCCCTGTCTGTCCTCGATGCCGTCAGCCTTGGCCATCTTCACTTGCCGCCCGAACTCGCACCCGTTTCAGGAGCGTCATGTCTACCTGGACGAGCCCATCAAAATCGGCCGCTCGGTGGCCCGCTGTCGACCGGCGCAGAATAATGCCACCTTTGATTGTAAAGTGCTGTCAAGGAATCATGCTCTCGTCTGGTTTGATCACAAGACTGGCAAGGTAAGGTCACTGTATTGTCTAACAATCTTCACTTTTCCTTTTTTTTTGCCCTTTCCAGAGAGGCATAATGTATGCAGGATCCCAGGGTTTGCACCCAGGGGACACTTTCAGCAAGGCCTCGGAATCAACATTTTGTGTTCCTGGTTCTAATGGAAATTTAATTGAGGTGGTTGAATGGAACAGAAAAGGTATTGTAATTAAATGCTTCAGGAGGACAATGGCATCTTGATAATGTGGTCATTCCCAGTGAAATCCCAAACACTAATTTGTTTCTGAAAACTAGATAGTGAAACTCGGCGTCTTGATTTCAGTCTTTTTAGAAAGGTGAATTTGCAGTTCAGTGCTTAAGCAAGCAGCAGTTCCCAAAGCAGTGAGGGGAATCTGTGGTCATTATTACACTGGGGCTCAAGTGTCTTAGTGATGAAATGTAGTTAACACGTAGCTTTTAGTTGAGTTCAGATGAGGGCCTTTCTAGTAAAAACAATTGCTTGTGTAAACTTAGCATTTTTGAAAGTTTTGATATATTTGTCCTTAAAGAAACAATTTGCAATAATCAAAGCCAATTTAATTAAGCATGAACAACTGTAACTTTATATTTTCAGAATTTTGTTTACAAGTTGAGTGAACATATAGGTATTGCTTTTGAAAGTCACTTTTTGATGTTCCCTGCAGCACTTAAATAATGCATACTTACAGAGGTGATATTAAAAAATTAGTGTTAAGAGGGCCAGCCTGTGGCTCACTCGGGAGAGTGCTGTGCTGATAACACCAAGGCCACGGGTTTGGATCCCATATAGGGATGGCCGGTTAGCTCACTGGGTGAGCGTGGTGCTGACAACACCAAGTCAAGGGTTAAGATCCCCTTACTGGTCATCTTAAAAAAAAAAAAAAAATCAGTGTTAAGAAGTTAACTTACTTTCTGAAATTATACCCAGTTCTATCAATTATAGCATCACCTAAATGTGATAGGATGAATTCAGTGCTTTTCATTTTAAGTGGAAGCATTTTAGCATTTTTATGTTGGCACCCTAATGTACCATACATATGTGCGCTTATATTTTAAGAAATCAAGGGAAAAAAGTAAGATCCTTTCAGTTTTTTGAAAGTCTTTGTCAATGTATTTGGGGAGTATATGAGAGTACCTCAAAAAGTTCATGGAAAGATTCATATTATCTTTTAATTCTATTTTCTATGAACTTTTTGAAGTACTTTTGTACTAAGTAGAGCTCAGCTTTGTGCTTAAACCTCAGGTTTTAGTTGAGCTACTGAATCAATTCCAACTTAAAGTAAGTTATGTAAGACAAATAGGAATATCTCAGGTTTCACCTCCTGATGTTTTGCTCCCTTTCTGAGTTAAATGATTAAGTTTTTTTTTTTTTTTTTTAAGATGACCGGTAAGGGGATCTCAACCCTTGGCTTGGTGTTGTCAGCACCACGCTCAGCCAGTGAGCAAACCGGCCATCCCTATATAGGATCTGAACCCGTGGCCTTGATGTTATCAGCACTGCACTCTACCGAGTGAGCCACGGGCCGGCCTTAAGTTTTTCTTAAAAGAAGAATTTAAGTCTTCCAGAGTTGTGTTTTGAAATGAAAGAAACCTGAGCCTCAAAAGGAAGCAAGAAAGCAATACTTATTCTGCAGTTACTGAATTAAAGAATTATTATATAAATTATTTTTTAAAGAAAGGAGGAAAAGATTGCCCAAGTGCTCAGTGCTTGTGTAATACCTATAACCTACTCTGTGTGTAGGATGAGGTCTGAAAAGTATGTTAATTTTTCTGTGTGACACCAGATGCTCATTTACCTGTGGAACAGACCCTCTTTTCTCCCTGGAAGCTAAAATTTCTGTGCTTCAGGGACTTCATAGATTACCCATATCCTCTAAAATGAATAGTCATAGAACTCATCTTTCCAGCATGGAATTCAAGCATCAGTTAACTACTAGAGCCTTCACTAAACCAGCTTTTACATTTTTCTTTTTATGTTCCTGGGCAATAGTTAGGTCCAACCCAATCAGATAACAGGTTTGCTCACAGTACACAACTTGCCGATGCACTTTCCTTGATTCAACACTCAAAGAGAGACTCAGATTTTTTTCTTTTACTTATTTGAATAATAGTGATTATATGCATAGTACTTTTCATGGCTGTACTAAAACCCTCACAATAGGTTATTCTGAGATGACTAAGAATAGATCAGTAGTGAGTTTTTGGCTGTGAACTAAGACAACGTGTTAAAATTTTGAATGGAATTTGTTATTTAGAAAAACTTACCTTTGAAGGGTAGATTTGGTTTTTTCTACTATTTTCATTTTTTTCCCCCTTCTGCTTTATTAGCTAAAATAACATTCAGGAATGAGGCCATTACTTTAGGTGTAGCTATAATTTTTGATGATTGTACCACCTGATCTAAACAAATAATCTGTCACATCTTCCATGTCATCAAATTATTTTAGGAATTAACTAAGATTTAGGTTTAGACTGACAATAGGTTTTTTTTTTTTTTCTTCCTTTTTTGTCTTTTTTCGTGACTGGCATCGGATCGCAACCCTCAGTGTCGCACCCGTACCGGACCGGGACCGGCAACGGGATCGCAACCCTCGGTGTTGCTCCCGCACCTTGCTCAGCCAGCGAGCGGCCGGTCTGTATGTGGGATCCGTACCCTCGGCGGGAGCGCCGCCGTGCTTCCCAAGCGGCGCACTGTAGCAGTGCGCCACCGGGCCGGCCCCTGACAATAGGTTTTTAATTGAGCATCTGTTATGTGCCAGACACTGTGAGGTACACAGTTACAAAGAAATCCCACAGTTCGATCAAATGTCATTTATTATTTTCTATGTGAAATTTAGTTTGAGGATTTCTGCTGTAATTGTCTTGTAACAAAAGTAACCAGGCCTAACATCTCTTCGCAGCAAATTCCTATATATAACACAAGAATCCACTTGTATTAAATATCACTTCAGGCAAGTTTTTTTTTAAACATCTTCAAGCCTAAGTTTTCTCATCTGGGAATAATGATAGTACCTACTATTGTTTTGAGGATTGAGATAATCATGTAAATCACATAGCACCAGTGCTTGGCTTTTATTAAGGACTCAATACTTAGCAAGAAAGGTGTTTGTGGGGGTGGAGGCAACCATCTCCACAACGCTTTGCAATTTATTGTAAGGTTGTGGAGTCTTAGGAAGGTAATGAGGAATTATATATATATATATATATTTTTTTTCCTTTTTGTCTTTTTTCGTGACCGGTAACGGGATCGCAACCCTCGGTGTTGCACCTGTACCGCAACTGGCAACGGGATCGCAACCCTCGGTGTCGCGCCCACACCGCGCTCAACCAGTGAGTGGACCGGTCTCTATATGGGATCCGAACCCTCGGCGGGAGCGCCGATGCACTCCCAAGCGCCTCACTCTACCGAGTGCGCCACCGGGCTGGCCCAGGAATTATATTTTTAATGGGATAGCATATGTAGAAATATTTTTAAAATTGAAATTAATGAATTTGATAACTTCGTCCAAATCCGTACTTTACCTGGGAGGTAGCAGACTGGGGTAAAATGCCCTTTGGCTGATTTTCAGTTTGTGGATGGCTGTTGCATTCTGCATTGGCCACTATGGGAGACCCATGAAAATCTGAAAGAAATAATAAACATTTGAAACTTTCTGATTCTTCAAGTGATACATGTTCATTATGGAAAATTTGCAAGAGGTAGGCAGATGGAAATCTAGGAGACACTTTTTCATGATAAATTCATGGAGTATCTTATTGTATTGGAGGGTGACAGGATTGCTGTAAAGGAGAGTTTAATTATCTTCCCCAAATCATTTTCTCAGGATGTAGCAGTTGGATATTGACCTGCTTGGATGCTGGCCCTGTATGTCATCCTTCACTTCTTTTTGAAGATCAATCTCTTTAAATTAGATGGCAGGTAATAGGATGGTTATTAATCCTTCTATTGATTTAAGGTACCACTAGGCAAGCAAATCTACCCATGTGGTGGTTACATAGAAGAGATAGTGAGTGGACTTTCACCTTGTGATTTGCACGGTCCTATTTGATTTTAGGCTTTTGGGACTGGTGACAGGCAAGTGGTTGACACACTCTATTTCCAGTCTCACTTCAGTTTGCATAGTAGTAGTAGTTGTCTACTTCCAATCTCTCTCACTTTTTTTTTTTTTTTTCCTTTTTGTCTTTTTTTACTGACTGGCAACGAGATCGCAACCCTCGGTGTTGCGCCCGCACCGCGCTCAGCCAGTGAGTGGGAACTGGTCTCCACATGGGATCCGAACCCTCGGCGGGAGAGTGTGCCACCGGGCCAGCCCCCAATCTCTCTCACTTTTTAACTTAAACTCAGTGCATATTTTTAAGTGCGCCACCGGGCCAGCCCCCAATCTCTCTCACTTTTTAACTTAAACTCAGTGCATATTTTTAAGCACCTGTTCTGTCAAAATCTGCTTTAGTGAAGGACATAATGGGAAAGGGAGAGGAAATAATAATAACTGGTAAGAAATTGTTATTCCTTCTTCCTAGGAGCTTATATATTAGATGAAGAGGGTGACTGTACACCTTGAAAACGATAGAGATAAGATACTGTTATATAAGTTTAAATGGCCAGAGTGATGGTGTTAGAATTAGACTTTAAAATTGGGGTGGATAGATACAAGTTAAGAAAAGGTAATTTTTTGTTTGTTTTGAGTGGATTAGGGTGGAATAAAAGAATAGGTAATTTTGAACAAGCTTGGCATCTTCCAAATGCTGAGGAAACCAATTTTGTTACATTGGAGAGTTCTTTTGGAGAGTAGCTGTAGGTGAACATCCATTATGTGTGATGTTGTTTTTATGTTTGTGCCTTGTCTTTGTATTTAATTGTCAGACCCTGAAGGAGAGGGACTCTACCCTATGTGTCTGTTTCCTACTATTTTATTTAAAGTAGATGTTGAGGGCTGGCCAGTTAGCTCCGTTGGCTAGAGCACAGCCTTATAACACCAAGGTCACAGGTCCC